CTAATGAGTGAATGTGGATTATTTGATGAATTATTGAACAGGTGAGGGTGTACTTTTTCAATGCAAGACATTAATAGCAGGAGAGCCAAAACCGGGGGCCACCTTCTTCGATAGGCACAGGAGGAGTCCAACGGAACGTAATGGAAATTCAATCCGTGACGATCAAGAGAAACGCTACTTTTCTCAAAAATCGATCACGCTTCCTAAGTGTCCTTGTCTTATTTTCTCTGGAAAATGTTTAGAAACAAACACCTTCGTTTGATCTGTTGGATAATAGTAGTAATCAAGGGGTGTCCATCAATAAGGAGGCAGCGCAATTTTTAAAAATTTTTGGGAAATTAAGGAAAACGTTTGAAAATTCAGATTTTTGAAATTTTCTTTTTCATATCGTAGCATAGGTATCTAATTATGAAATTATGTCGTTCTGGATTTCATCCTTCCTTTTCAGAGTGGTAAGGGAAGGGTTAATGTTTGGAGAAGCCTTATTATGCCCCCGTTCTAAAAAAACACCTGACATTTAAGGGATTTTTCGAATGAAGAGAACAAAAGTGTCTTATGTCCCGACATGTGACCGACCTTGTTATTGTTTATGGCACGTGCTATTGGAAATTAAATCGTAAAGCAAAGGGTTAAGGTACACATCCTTAACAGTGCACATAGCAACGCACATTCGGAGCATTTTAACCCTTTGCATACGAGAGGTGACTCTCAGACACCACTGGGTTTTACGTGGCAACTCGAGTGGCGACTGAAATGCGACAATCTTTGTTGATGTTAGATTTCGTAGAATCTTGAAACGTTGATAGCTATATCGCTCCATAAATGGGTTTTTAAGCTTTTTATAAATTCATTTAGGAAGTGTAAAATGGTACATCTTGGTACGTCTTGAAATACTAAGAAGATTTATAATCATAATCACGGTTTTGATAACGTCTTCGGCATTAGTTCACATTTGACGAACGTGGCAGGAAATTACTTCTAAAATGTTGTTCGGAAGTTCTAAAATTCTACTAAAATTCATTTCTGTACTGAAATCAGTTTAATTGATAATAAATTTGATTTTACACTCTTACAAGACAAAGTCGATTGTATCAAGAATCATCATTTAATTTAACATGAAAAAGTTATGTTTGTTAAGATGTAAAGATACATTAAATATTGAAACATAATATTTGTATACATTGTGCAAAATCATTTTATGTTAGTCGTAAAAAGTTCGTCAAGTATTCGCGAAGTGGTCTGGAGTTCCTACCTCGTCCTATCAAAAGTATCGTCGAGCGCAAATGATTAATTACCAATTGTTTCCAAAGTTTCAGCTTCGACTAGCTTCAATTTCTCTTGCAGTACATCCCGCGGATGATCATTATTCATAGTTTGTTCTCCTCAAGTGTTTTTGTCAAGATGATATCACAGGGGATGTTTTGAGCTGTTGTGAAGATCATACACTGTTCTGTTGTAAACCTCGTTATCTCACGAATTGTGAATATCGAGTATTTTACGAAAACTATATCATATGATTTGAATAAGTGCAGACATCCCATTGCATATGTTCCATACAATAGTAGTCCGATTCATTTATGTAGAGAAACCATCAATTACGTTCGTCCTTCTTTGAAAAAGTTACAGGTGTGTTGGTGTATTAAAATTAATGGCCGATAGTGTGCCTTCTTCCCTTCGATGAGCGTAGGAGGAGTTCAACGGAACGCGACGGAAATTCAACTCGAGACGGTACGAATAAATGCTACTTTTCTCAAAAATTGATCACGCTTCCTAAGTGTCACGCTTCCTAAGTGTCTTATTCTCCCTGAAAAATGTTTAAAAACAGATATGATTGTTTGATCCGTTGAGTAATGGTAGCAATTGGC